GCCCATTGCTGTGATATTTCTCCTCACTTCCAAAAAGTGAGGAGAAATATATATACTGACACGACTAACTGTTTACTAACTTTTATTTATTTAAATTTAAAAGGGCGAAATAGAAAAAATAGTACAAAACACACGTAGTACAATGTCTTATTGTAATACTCGCTCAATGTCGGTACTGGTGCCTTCGCCACTCGTGCCACAAACTACTTGTAATGCAATGAGATTCATTCTAACACGAGTATTTTAATATACTTTTGGGATGTTCGTTGTGATAGATAGTGAAATGTTGAAAATGAAAGTTTGAGATGGTAGTGACAAAAGATATGGGGTAGGTGTTGCAATAAGAATACAGAAAATACAAAGGTGTAAATGGCTCAAGTTGTACTCTAAGCCCACGCTACGACCTTTGTCAGGTTATCTTTATTACGTTATTGGTACATATGTATTTATCACCAAATACCTAGTCCTCATAGTTTTGCAAAATAAAGTTACTTTCATAAAAATAATGTAAATTTTTCTGAAGACTTTGATCATTTCACATTTATTGAAACAAAAAAAAAATATCCATAAACGCTAATAAAGTTTAATAAGCATCATAAACACTACGAAAATGTTCAGTTATTACAGGACTTATTACCTATGTGTCCCTTTCTAAAGCTTCGAATTCTTTCGATAAAACTGAGCCTGTCTAAGAAGTGTCAAGGCGTAATAAAAATCGTTCAATAACGTCTCATCCATTCAAGTACATTGAAGTGCCGCCTTTTGTCTTTTTCCACAATTGTATATAGTCGCAGATTAAAGTTAGTAATAACAATTTAAGTTAATAGTATTATACCACTTTTTGTCATACTGATCAAATGTTGTGTGAATCAAATGTTCTGACTATACAATATAGTATATTAAAAAGTAAGTTTCATATGACGTTATTTTAGAGCACGAATCCCAAAATTAGAAAACGAGTGGTTCTAAGGGATGGTGTGCTAAAATCTGTTTAAATATACTCCGAACTAATAGCTACATATGAAAAATTAATGTTTAACACTAATTTATTTTTGTCTACGACATTCAATTTTTTTCTGCTACGACACTATATATATTTTAAAAAATTCCTATAGAGATATTTTCTTCAGAATTTATTAATGTATTAAGATTTCAAACATTGAAAAAAAATATATTAAAAATGAATTCAATTTTGTGTCTAGACGCTGTGATGAATTTATTAACACAATTATTTCGCTATACAAATCTATATGTATGTCAACACTTACGCACGTCAGCAAGTTTGACAACAAATAATGTTTGTAACTTTGTTAATAACCAGAAGAAATTACTGATCTGTGTTTACTTTTTTTTCTAAGGTTTAATATATGTAGTAATCACAACGTCTAAACAAATAAAAATAAAGTACCAAAACATCAGGTAGTAATATTTGTCACAACAGTTTTTCAATAATGCTTGTTAATAATAGTTAGTAATTTGTCTACCATCAATTAATTGTGCTGATTAGCTTCACAAACTTAATCAGATATTTGTGTGATCTCCATCTATGTATAAATGAATGCATTTTTTTTAACGTTAATACGATAGTTAGATGCTATCTTTCAACATTCATCGAAAGAACACTTCATGCATTGTTATTTCCCGAGCGTAAATTTGAAAAATATTGCAATAGGCTCATTTTGGTGAACTTCTAATTTATTTCATATTTAGTCGACGTTTCACAGCTTGTAGAATACGAAAATATTGGTCCTCGGATTCCATCTGTCTGTCGCCTGTTTGTTGGCGATATTATTAGGTAGACTTTAACATTTTCGTGTAAATAGTAAAATGCTAAATCCACGAAGTCTGTGGTTTTAAAAACTTCAAAACAAAGGGTCACTGTCACGCATTATATTTAAAATATAAGTTGAGAAAACAATTTCATTGGTCTCTATTGCAAAGGAAAGTCCGCACTGACTGTCACTCTCGATTCTTACTGTCACTCTGTTAGGTCAAGAGATATGAAATTATTTAATTTTTAATAAATAATACATTTATGCCTCCCAAAAAATAGCGTGCCAGAAACTGCTTCTGCGAATATTTGTTTTTTGCGATCTCGCTAACGCTCGGTGCGGCAAATTCGCTGGAATTTAGTTTCTAGCCTTTTAATACACATAATTATTATAGATTGAAGTTTTACAATTTATTTTATAACATATTGAGGATTTTTTAAATTTTTTTAACAGACCAATATAATAATTTTATTATTATACAGCTTCGATTAAAATTATTTTTTCTTATGGTTTTATTCCTTTATTGTTTTACGAATAGAGGGGCTCTGTAAATATAATACCAGAATATCTACTTAGGATAATGAAACAGTTATTTGCTTTAATTTTGAGATGTTGTACTTTAAAACTTTATTATTAATTAATTTGGTGTTAGTCACTTTTTACCATAAAAGAATCTACAAGCTCTTTCTAAGAAATGTTTAAGTTATTTACGCGGGAATTATACAAATTAATATAATTTAGTTCACTTTGAAAGCGTAATAACGGAAATGACCGCTCCTCGTTATCCATTATCGTTAAACATATGTACGAGTAGAAGCAAAAATTCTCAAAAAAATTTACCATTAAAAGGCTAACCATCAAAAATGAGATTACTGTTAACTTAGTGCCGTAAGTTTGTTTCGTCTATTTCATTTGACGTTCCCTGCTTACATAAATCTGTAATACCTTCAAACCATGACATGATACACTTGACCTTAGCACGTCATTACACATTATATAGAAAATTTAAGTTTCATTTTTTGGAAAATATGAATAGTTTACTGGAACGTCAGATGTAGATCGATGGGATGATAAACTAGTTCTAGCCAAAATAAAAAATATTTATATCCCCCAATATTTTTCGCAAAAAGTAGTTATGAATATTACATAGTTACAATAATAGCATGTAATTAATGCTGGTGAGTTTCTTATACAATTTCAGGGTCCTTATTACAAATTTTATCACTATATCACGTGAACCCTATTCACCTTTGTTATTTCATTAGATAGATTTTCTAAATTGTCAGTTAATGACAACTGTTTGGTGAATTTCATTCTACTCGTATTTACATACTAAATGAAATTAACAATAATCTTTGGACTAGTTATGCAAGGAAATAAGAAACATAACAGCGATCATGATGTAAAAAACATGTCGAAGGTTATTTCGACAAAACTTCCCTCGCCCCTGAAGTACAAAAAACATATTCAGCTCTTTCGGAAAATCTGATTTGGCGAATTTTATTTGTCTTTTTTAGAACAATCTCTATAAGTTAAAATACAGATATGTGTGAGATGTTAAAGTAAATGTAATGAAGCGTGCTGCGCGTGTGCTTCAAATAAGTTTTTCTTTTACAAAATTTTATGATGATCCCATTACATTTTTGCAAGGACGCCTATATCAATTTGGGTAGGTGCAGTGTAATACATACTAATAATATCAGTATATTTTGTATTGGGAGCAATAATTAATTTTCTTGAATCACCCTGTAAAAACAATCCTGAAAATATTAATACAGTGAGATATCACAAGTATAGACTCATCGTATTTTGCACATTTTAGAGAAAATTTATTCGGCAAAATTGAGAAAAAAGTCATAATTTTTTGTGGGCGATAAACAGATATATGTATTTCAATTAAAAATTCACCATGTTTACGATAACTTTAAAACGTCTGCAAAATTTCAAAGGATTCCATTTTGACTCATTCATTTTTTTGAATCATCTGTATAAGCAATTATAAAAAATGTTGAATAGAATGATAAATCCCAAATATAGACTCATCATATTTTGCACATAGGATTTACTTCGCAAAACTTTGAGCTGACGTATTCAGTTTTTAGGAGGGTCGTAAACGGATAAATTTTTATTAACGATTTACCATCTTTCCCACAACCTTAAAACGTTTACGAGGTTTCAGGGCATTCCGTTTTGCAATTTCAAAGTTAATTGGTAAAATGTTGTTATATAATTCTGATTTTTTTTACAAAAATCAGGTTGTCTAGGGTAAAATTTAAAACGGACTCATAAATTACAAGTGAACGAGTATGTTAGTTTATAAAATTTATATAACATTTACTATTAACATAAAAGTGGCGAGTCGCCCGATGGACTCGATTACAATACTTCCTTAGCTTACCCTCGGGAAATAAAGTCACCTGACTTCACAACTCATAAGTTATGGCGTTGCAAGTTAATAGTTATAGGAACAACAGGAAAAATTATGCATTTACAGTCTATTTCAACTATCCACAAAGACAAAATCCGATATATTCTAAATATTCCATTCATAATATTTGTTATACTTCTAATAACATTTAATTGCTGAGTACATTATATATGTTTTGAAGAGTAACGAATTTTCTACTTGTGACGTTTGATGGTCATAAGTGTGGAGAAAATGCAAATTCTTGACGGTTTAGACGCAGTTTCTGAAGAGGCATTAAATTCATAGAAATGAAATGCAAGAAAATGTTTACAATTAATTTTAACGACTAGAAAGGTATGCGATTTTTTATAATTATTTATTAAAATGTTTGTATGATACCTGAAAGTTATATATAACTTTTCGTAAGGATATCATTAAAATCTATTCATAATAATTCTCTGCTAGTTTTAGATACCGCTTTGGAAATTTATTTCATTTCCCATTTATCTTTGCACCATTCCTGCACGCAAGTAACTATTTCTTTAATCAAATCATATAATGTATCGAATTTAAAGTGTACTTAATCCGGAACAACTGCCGCAGAAACACCGTTTTACGAGTTATTAGTTTTAATTACACTTCAGACTTCACGCTCAAAATGTGCCATGTTTATTACATTTGAAGATGGAGTAAGTAGCCCTGCAAAGTTGTATGTAGCAATGTAACTCATGGATAAACAAACCACATTCAGGCACGAACCCAACGGCAATACAACATGCCAAGAATGGCACAGTTTTACTTCACTTAGGCGGTGCAATTACCTTTCTTGCATTTTTTCTGGATTGTTTTCGTGGATTCACACGTCGTCTGGTTGCCCTTCTTTAAAGTCAACGTTCTCGAACGCATGTTGGTCTTGGAGTCACATTCCGACCATGCTCCTTTTCCGTATCTGCATTCTTCTGAAACCAATATAGAATATAGATTAACACAATAATGATAAGAAATTTTTATGGCACAGCAGCGAACTTTCACATCAGTTAGTAAACAGTTCAAGACAACAAAAATAATAAATTTCAAGTATCGTATCTTCATGCAAAGATAACAAAACAGACAGCAGTAACACTGATCTGCTTTAAGTATCATTCAATTTAATGTTTGAAGGTGCCAAGGAGATGAATTGACTAAATTCTTCATTTTATTAGAAAAGAAGTTCACGGACATTTTGAAACCGGTGTTTCCTAGTAAATGGAAAAACAGTAGATAATTGTATGATTGTAAATTTAGGAATTATGTCCACTCAAATCGAATTCTCTTTATTTTTGGGAGAAATAGGATATTAAAATAGCCTACTTGTGAGATTGTTTAGTTATTTTGTAAACGCGAATATAGATTAATTTCAAAATCCTTAAATATGGTGACTACAAAAAAAAAAGAATCTATAAACAGTGATTATGTACTAATAACTACTATAAAACTAGTAAAAAATAATTATTTCTTACTTCATTTTATGCAAAGATAGATAGTCAGAAGTCGACGAAAGGAAGATAATTTCAATTTTACGATTAATCTATTCAATGTTTTCAAAGCACTGTCTGCTTCATTTCACATTTAATCCTCTTATATTACTTCAGTTAAATAGGTATCATTACGATAGGAAGAAACAATACCTAAATAAATCAAATTATTAATTATTTTAGAAGTTTTTAGAACTCAACTATGAATCTGGTTATCTATAAAACTGAGATAATTTGATAAAATAGCGCAGCAAACTTTTGTAATGTTGTTATCGACAACCGACTGCGACCAGATTTCTATAACCTGACTTTAGTCGTACTACTAATGAATATTTTGTGTAAATTTTAGATCTATAAAACTTACGTGCCTAATCCCGCAAGAAATGTAAAATGTAAATTTTTTTTGGAGATCAAATAATATAAAAAATTGGCGCATTAAAATAATGATGGATTATTATTTGTAAATTAAATAGATTATTATTTGATATGTAACGACAACCTAGCGTATTTGAGTATGGTTGGTACCTGAAATATCCAACTGCGCAACGAATACTGAAATTGAAACGAGTGTACAAGAAGATGCAAGTGGTAATTGAAATACTTGAACGATTGATGGAACACTGGATTTGAAAGTAGTATCAAATACGACACAAATACTTGCACTGGAAGTATTTGTTATTTATCGCCAAACTGTATGATTTACTTACGTTAGAAATCTAATATGCCCTTCTAACAACAACATTAAATTAGATTTTGCGAATATGTTTGTAACACAATTTGTTGGGGAATTTGATATTTCGTTGTTAGAATCTGTACTCCCCTCGGCATTCCCAGTTCCATTTTCAAATAAATAAATATATCCATTTACGCAAGTTATTACTGAATGACTTATTTATTACAATTCATATGTTAAATACTTTGGTAATGTATTACAATGTTACCATGAAAAGGAATATATTTTTTAATTATACATTTTGTCACCCAGATGTAGTATCTTTTTTCTACGATCACCACTGTAAATACCAAGATCACACAACCACTGATCATGTATGCGTGTCCTTAGGCATAGCGTTGGTAAGAGAAGCCGATCGCATGGTTAGGGATTTCGCGATTTATTCAATTTAGGTTGGCAGTGAAACTGACAGGACTGGTAGGCAAATTGATTTAAAATACAAAATTGTAGGCACTGTTAGTAACAGAAGACTAATCAAAGCTTTTTAAAAGCAGAAAACGAACAAGGTAACATTAACTACAAAAATATCAAATTTCTCTCTTCCTACTGATTCTAAATATTTACTTGTAGTTTAAAATCACTCATGATAGTGAGGAATAAGAGCGGATTTCTAGGTTTAATACTTTTTGTGAAAAATGTAAGCACTTCAAAACTTTTTTGTATATGTAATTATGATACAATTTGACGTCATTTGACACTTGTTTTTATGCTTATTTGTTTTTTTTTGAAATTTTATGCATATTAAAACGTATATGTATGCTTATTTAATGCTTTTTTCCTAGGAATATGATTTTTAATGCATATTTTATTCCAATGTCGGTCTTGCCCGGACTTGACCATTGAAGGATACCTACTCAAGACCCTTTTTGTGAACACGTTCCGGCCGTTTGGGTAATCAAATTTCATTACGGGATTAAAAAATACTCGGTAGATTTTATGAATTTAAAACCTTACTTCCTTTAATAATGAATTAAAGCTTTTAACTACATGCTCTTTTTCGGCATTTTGCGGCAATACCGTTGAAGATTTTCTAGAAAAAAGAATTATTTGATCCAACTACCTACCTTGTTAATATCTTAAAACAATGCCGAAAGTAAAATCTATGCCAAGAACGAGTGTGGATGTTGAACACACATTCTCCAACCTTAAACATGTTTTTAATGCTTTTTTGTTTAAAATACAACTTTTTTAATGAAAATGTTATGCTTATATAAGCGCTTATTCTCAATTTTTTGTGCTTATAAATCCGCTCTCTAGTGATGAATTATTGTGCACGCACCCGGAGATTACTGAAAAGGCCAAAACGGCTATTAACAATCTGTTGCACAAAGTCCCCTGAAACGTAGGAAATTGTTTACCAAAAATTCATGGAATGGAAACGAAAAAATAAAGTAAATTCGTTGTCTGCGAACGTAATGTTGGCATATTTTAAAGAGTTGTCAACTACATGCGTAATATGCTTCTTACAACTCTTGTTACGTAATATACTACTAATATTATATCTGGTAATCTGTACATAAAAATTTAAACCTGTAATAATTTGTTTGGTCTGTAAGGAAATGACATTACATCTATTACATAGTAAGAGTTAATCTACCGGGGGATGTTACATGAACACAAAGTACAAAACTACAAATATAAATAATAAATAATTTATGCTCTTTACACCGACCGCCATTTAAACGATTCTGTCGATTCCTTTTTGTTCTGTTTTTGTAATTCATTCTGAAGTAAAACAAAATAGAATGGTTATACATTTTTGTTGTTAATTAACAAACGTCGCACTAAAACAAATTTGTTACGTCTGGTGGAATGTAAAAAAAACGGGAACCAAAAATTTTGTACTATGTTGTTTTATCATTTTGACAATTATTTTTTTTATGACATTGTACCGTTGTTTTTTTGAATAGAGAATAAAGTAAAAAAACGGTTATTTCAAAGAAGAGAACTGACGTTTTATTATGGTATACTTTATGCACATGTCTAACACTATTTTTTAATCGTTTTCGATTTTTTCGGTTTTCGTGCTCGGCCGTTTTGAAAATTTGTGCACCGACCAAACACCCGTGTCTTTTACATAAGTAATATGTTCCCTAAACTCTCGCAACGAACAGATGAACTAGTGGCCCTTTCGGTGTTGTAATTAATAGACAAATTAGAACTAGAAACATCATTCTATTAGTATAACAAATTATTTCGTGTATCTTACAGCGTTCGGGAGCAAAATTCCGTGTTAAATTTGAACTCCCCTCATATAGTTTTTTAAATGGATTTTGAAAAACCGTTAAATTGCGATTACAATGATATACAACAGTTAGATGTTTATTTAATTTCCAGTTGATTAAAAAAATGAAATTTATAAACATACAAAAAAAAATAAAGTTGAGTTAAATAGGGGACTGCCACCATTTTGCGATAGTTCGAACATATGCTAAAATAACTGCTTTTGAAACAGTTGATTACAAAATAAAATGTAAGTGCTTTATTTCAGTCAACTCTAATTTTTTTTATGTTTATAAATTTCATTTTTATTGTCAAATGAAAATAAACTAAATATCTAGTGTTGTATATCATTGTAATCGCAATTTAATGGTCGCGATGCCATATGTGCGTCATATTTGCAATGTACTAAGTTAAAATATTTCCCCTTCAATCTAGAAACAATGGCGTTTTCAGATTTCAACATCTCTATCCGTTCCCAAGATATAAGGCTGTGGAGTTTTAACTAGGACACCCGTATGACAAAATTGTTATCGTACTTATGCTATAGGTATTCGTTTACTGGAATTTAAGGAAAAAAACTAAGTACATTAAAATTATATGAAAGTAACAGTGCATATACTTACAGAGAGCTTTATTACTTAAGTTAAGTCAAAACAACCAGTTTGAGCATTGTTTGCAAGCCGGATATAATATTGTTATTGATTAAACACAACATATAAAGTTTATTTAATCCATGGTACAGTTAAAACAAAAAAGACGGGGCCTTATCGACCGCACCTCATAGGTGGGAAAATTTGCATAAAATTCATTACTCATATTTAAACTTAATTTAATTGTAAAAAATAATGGATAAAATATTTAACTTTCGTGGACTCGCATTTTAAACTCGTTGATATCCCATATATTTATTGGCGCGTTCAGTTTAAATTTTAGAAAATCTGAAAACTAGTTTTAGAACAAATTTAAAGATTAATAATAATATTTTACAAAATTATCTTATAGTATTCATTTGCTTATTATGTCTTTAATAGTTGAACTATGACATACTTTTGAAAAAAGTAATTTATTTTTACTTCTCCAGCCTAAACCATTTTGTACTTAATAACAACTACTGCAGAACATGTTCAATGAACTTAAATTCAATGATCTTTTATTTAACTTATCGTCAGATCTTGACAACTTAAAACAATTTAATTAAACACGGTTCCATTTTTTTAATACTGTTAGTTTTAAAGTGTTGAATTTACGCCCCAAGTAATTTCTACGTTTTCTGATAATACATTGGCCGCCAAAAAAAAACCTGGCGATTATTTGTCTCTTTTTTCAGGTAGTTTGTTCATTCTGTGTCAACAATAAGTGGTTCTTTCATAAAATAACAACCACTTGTTAAATTAATAATTTTTAAAATGGTTTTGCGAAATATTAAAGTGGCTGTTTTTTTTCAGGTTAGTATATATTATATAGAGTTTTGATTTTTGTTAGTGCA